GGAAAGGTAGGTCTCTGCAACAACGTTTGTATGTCATCAATGTACTTTGCAAGGATTTTAACAGAGGAATGTTTTTTTCTCTCAACAAAAGTAAGGTTACTCTTTAAGCTTTGATGAATCCTCTGACACAAAACAGGTTAACCTAAATATTTCCTCAGAACAACTACTACATACTCCTCAGGTAACATGTATGGCACAAGGGCCAATTCACAAGGGGACGCCAAAGGACCACGATGGTGCCCTGTAATCAATGCAGTAGACACAGTAACACCAATGTAAGTAAATGACACTCAAAAGTAGAATTCCGGTAAAAAAAAATGAAAATGTATACTTCATTAGCTATATATATATATATATATATATATATATATATATATATATATATATATATATATATATATATATATATATATATATATATATATATAGTATACTATACACAACTTTTATACACTGCTCAAAAAAATTAAAGGAATGCTGAAATTAACAACAGGTGCACTAGATGGGCAACAATGAGATGACCCCAAAAACATGAATGGTTTTACAGGTGGAGCCCCGTGACATTTGCTTCCCTACTCATCTTTTCTAACTGTTTTTCACTAGTTTTGCATTTGGCTAGGGTAAGTGTCACTACTGGTAACATGAGGTGATACCTGGACCCTACAGAGGCTGCACAGGCAGCCCAACTCCTCCGGGATGACACATCAATACATCCATTAGTTTGCTGTGTCTACAAGCACATGGAGGAGATTCTCTAGGAGAGCTGGAGAGGGCCGTAGGTGGTCTTTAATCCATCAGCAAGACCAGTATCTGCTCCTTTGTGCAAGGAGGAACAGGATAAGAACTGCCAGAGCCCTACAAAATTACCTCCAGCAGGGGCACTAGTGTTAATGTCTCTGACCAAACAATCAAACAGACTTCATGAGGGTGGCCTGAGGGCCGGACATCCTTTAGTGGGCACTGTGCTCACTACCCAGCACCATAGAGCTCAATTGGCATTTGTCATGGAACACTAGAATTGGCAGGTCTGCCACTGGCACCCTGTGCTTTTCATAAATGAGAGTAGGTCCACCCTGAGCACGTGACAGACGTGAAAGGGTCTGGAGAAACCGTGGCGAACGTTATGCTGCCTGTTAACATCGTTCAGCATGTATGCATCGTTCAGAGAGTATGCAGGTAGTCCCTGGAGAATGAAGGAATGGATAACACTGAATGGCTCCCACGCTCGCCTGACCTAAATTTAATAAAACATCTCTGGGATATCATGTTCTGGTGCATCTGACACCAGCAGGTTGTACCTCAGACTGTCCAGAAGCTCAGTGATGCCCTAGTCCAGATCTGGAAGGAAATACCTCAGGACACCATGCGTCGTCTCATTAAGAGCATGCCCAATGTTGTCAGGCATGCATACACGCATGTGGGGGGCCATACAAACTACTTGAGATGCTGCAATGAAATTTCAGCAAAATGGACTAGCCTGCTGCATAATTTTTTCACTTTGATTTTCGGAGTGTCTTTGAATTAAGTCCTCTGTAGGTTGATCATTTTAATTTCCAATCAAACAATGGGGCATCCTTACATTCCTAACACATTATCCAGTCCATATCAGTATAGAAATCCAGCCTGATATTTTTCCCCATTGAGATCTGATATATTTTCAAAGTGTTTAACTTTTTTTGAGCAGTGTATTATGCATTTAGGTAATTGACAAATGCCTGATTACACAGTTATAGTTGGGCTAGTTGAAAAATGAGATCAATCTAGTTCAACCCACAGACAAAAAAAACCCACACCTACACACAAAAAGAACACCTCCATATACACAACCCTAGACCCAAAGTTGATCCCAGAGAGGAAAAAAAGCATGATCTAATTTTCTAATTTGCTCCAGTGGGGGGAAAGGGGTGGGGGGGAATTGCCCGAGGGCCCAGGGTCAGAAGGGGGCCCAATGAAATGCCCCTGGTACCTTTTTATAGGCTTTTTTGGGTGTGCTTTGAGTGTGGGCAAGGGTAAAGGGGCCCCATGATCCCCTATTGCCCGGGGACCCATGAGTTGTCAGTCCGCCCCTGTCCCTGGATCAACGTTACCTAAAAATATTGGTATCCAATTATATTGTGTACATTTAGGAAAGAATTTAGGCCCTTTAAAAAAAAAAATGTACTGAGCTGGCCAGAACCAGCTCTTAAGTGCGTTGATTCCACATTTTCACAGCTCTTACTATGAAGTCTTTCCGTATTTGGATATGAAATCTCTTCCTACAGAAATACACATAAATTCAGGTCAGCCAATCTTTCCTCATAGCTGAGCTCCTCCATGCCTTTTAACAGTTTTGTTGCCCTTCTCTGCACTTTCTCCAGTTCCCAGATATTTTTAATAATGATTTGTAGTAAGCCAAAATTATGTGTATCTGCAGTCCATACCTCTTAAAGCGGAGTTCCGCCTAAAAAAAAAAAAAGGCAGCAGCTACTGACTTTTAAAATACAGCCACTTACCTGTCCCTCGGTCCAGTAGTGTCCTCACCACCGCTGGTTTCTCTGGCTGTCTTCTCTCCCTGGCATCTTCAGTGTGGGCACCCGGCTGTAAAAGCGTGCGGCTTCACAGCTGGGTTCCCACTACGCATGCGCGAGAAGCGCTGCGCTTTGTGAATGGCCCGTAGTCTTCTGGGACCTGTCGTGTCCAAGAAGACTACGGTCTTTACACACAGTTTTTGGCCCCTTGCAAACAAGTGTCACATGTTCCTGAGTAAGCATCCGTAAATTATGATGCCTGTGTGCAAGGGGCCTTAACATACAATTCAGCTTCAATTATAGTGTGGATTGCCACTTTAAATAAGCTGCTAGCACGCTTTAACAGTACTTGAAGCTTGTTGAAAGTCTGCTAAAGCCTACTATCAGCTTGTTTAAAGTGACAAGCAGTACTCCCCATTAAGATCGGTGCATAACATTTCCAAACACAAGCTGAAGGGCCATCACCCAAGAAGCTGTGTATTTGGCATAGAGTACTCTCAGTGACTCGTGCTGGCAGAGGGAACATATTGTAGAAGGCACCATGAAAGAATATGCTTTGTTCACTTTTCAAGTTAGAGGTTAACAACCACTTTAAAGTGGAGTTCCAGCTGAGGAAAAAAAAAAAAGAAAAAAAGTCAGCAGTTACAAAAACTGTAGTTGCCGACACCAGGCACATTAGGGGACAGAAAGACCAGATCCAAGGAGCATGCTTCTCTCACCAATATTCACTCCTTTAGTGGGCATACCCCCTAAGGGGGTCTTCAGGGCCATGATTCCACTAGATGGGTGCACCTTGGCGCTGGACCTGTAGCGTGGGTGACTCACTATACTCTACATAACTACCTTAGTGAGCGCTTCCAGCAAAGTCCAGTGCCAAAGAAAACAGGTAGGCCTACTTCTTTGCAGGGTCAGAGTACAGCTTCATTGACAATGCCGAGGATCACTCAATCAGAAAAGCTGAAAAATGAGACCCTTCTAGCTCTGCAGAAACTGAAAAAAATTTCTAAATAAACAAACCTTGATAAACTTTTTTTTTTTTTTTTTTTTTTTTTAATAGATCTCCTTTCCCCTAGGATACAAGCAAAAAACTGAGGCATGCTGTGAGCTTTGTTTTGCTTGTGTGTAACCTCCTGAAGACAGCAGCATAACCTAATAAACCTGAATACTCTTCCTAAATCCCACAATGTAGGATTAAGGATTTCTGACTTACCTGTAAAATCATTTTCTTAAAGTGTTAGTAAACCCAGGACCCTGCATTCAGCAGTTCGAGCAGTCTTGTGACTTCTGTCAGTGTTCAGCAGAGCACTGGTTAAAGCTTGTAGGAGGTGTTTTCTTTCTGCTCTAGGAGAATGCAGAACCCCTGACCTCTGTCTGGACAGTGCCAATTAGCCTTCTGCTGAGCACTCTCCCAAGGAGAGGAAAAAAAACCTCTCTAGCAATACACACCAAACTGAGCATGTGCCGAGTGTCTCCACACTGTGTCTTATCAGGAGATAAGAGGGGGGCACTGGAAAAAGGGGGAGGATCAGAGAAGTCAGGATCAAACAGCGTTTTTACACAATGCGGATGATTAACCCCCTTAGGTTCCACAATGAGTAGAACAAGCATACTTTGCTGCATATACAGAGTGATTTTACTGTTCACAGTCATGGGTTATGCAGATGCCTTCAGATGACTGGACAAGAGCAACAATTCTGTAATATAACCTCATCCACTGCTGAAAAGACTGGAAACAGAGGGTTAATGTACTTCAAGAAAAGGATGTGGTACCACTCTCCTCCTCCTTAGAAAGCACAGAAGCAGTGAAAGGGAAATCAGATAGGTGAAGGATGAGGGTGCTCATTTGAGTCTCCTGTAGTGTGAGGCCTCTAAAAGCACTGAAAGTATCCCTATAAATTCAGGCACTGTGGCTGACAACTGCTCTCTAAACATGAGGAGCCAGAATGAATTAAAGACTTTGAGGAGGACAGTGACTCAAATTAGGGACAGCTGTCAGAGCTACAGGAAATTTGACCTTGTGGTGGGATATTACTAACCGGTTAAAATTGTAGAACACGGTTAAAATTTTACATCAAAAATTACATTTTCATGTGGTTTTGTGTGCCATGTTTGTTATATATAGCCAGCTCAGTACAAAGCATGCTGGCACAAAAAAGCACTATGCATAATAAACCAATTTCTATAATAGAAGACTTTTGGAAACAAATGCGGGAAAAAAGAAGCTTGAAAGAAAAAAAAATAGAATTTGGAAAACTCACTGCCATTGCCCATGACAAGTTAAACAAATGTGTCATGGATTAGAAGATGAGAACTGTAAATTAAATGCAACAGTGAATGTACATTTTGGCTTCATAGAAAAAACTCTGGAAACCAATTACTGGGGGAAGGGGGAATCAGTAAGGACGTTCTCTGTGGCATGTGTTTACATTTTATTGCTCAGTATAGTGAATGCAATTTCAACTCATGATCCAACCAGAAAATAAATGTACCTACCGTAACCTTCCATCCTGAGCTGCAGCTCCCCCAGAAATTATTTTTGTTATAAAGATGCTTGTATCATCTCCAATATGTGGATTATCTGTACCTCCTGCAATGCTAAAGCCAAGGCCAGATGTGCCCTGAAAGAGATCAAAGGACAGTAGAAGTAAGAAAAGGTAAAATAACTGGGTTCCAAAAGTAATAAGAGGAACGTTTTGCTGAGGGAATCCATTTTTACACCCTTTTTAGAGGTGGCAATAAATTAGAAATTGCTTTGATGGGGAAGTAACGCCACTGATCAGCTAGCCAGAACCCACTCAAAGAACATACAAGCAGTTAAAGGCTCTATTTGGTGAAGGGAGTTAATGCAGAAAAATCCTTAGAAAACCAATTATTTTAAATGCCTTGAAAGATAATCCTGCTAGCTTAAAGGAAGACACTACACACAGATCTTGCTCACATTTGTGTATTTTTAGTGCAGTTGAAACTGCACACTAACTTTTATGCCATTTGAGTCAATGGCACTGTTCTCCGTTGCATTTTCTTTTCACAGTTCCAGTACCATTGCCTATACCTGTATCTTAGAACCTGAGTAAGACGCAACAGTGCACTGATGGCTTTTGATAGATGAAGCAGCTTTCTTAAAAGGCCAAGTACAGCTTTGAAAAAATAAATGCACATTTTTCGTAGGTAAAAAAATGTTCATAATGTTTTTTTTTTCTTCTTTCTTTCTAATAAACCTGCAGAGCATTGCACCCATGATCAGCAGATTGCAGGTGCAATGTCAGGCTCCTGCATACTCTCAAGATTGGCTGTCTGCCAGTACCTCATATGGACAGTTATTTAAGAGCAGGAAGATCAATGAACTACGAGAGCATTCACCAGCAATCTTGTAGTTCTACTAGAACTACAAGTTGTCGGTCACAATAGTTGACGGTATTTGTAGCCTATTCAGTCACAGGAAACTGTGAATGAATGATATGGCTGTGTGGGTGGAGCCCCAAGCAGCCACACAGTTTCAAATTGTGACTTTGGGGTGGGGAGAAGAATCCCTGCCCGCTGTCAGAGGAAAGTTGGGAGACTGTGCAGCTGCTGTAAAACATCACATGTTTAAATTCTAAAAATGTTCCAAAAAGGTGCTTTATGGAGTGGTGATGCCTTAATACTTCAATACCAGGCACTTTCACCCCCTTCCTGCCCAGGCCAATTTTCAGCTTTCAGTGGTGTCGCACTTTGAATGACAATTGCACGGTCATGCACCACTGTACCCATATGAAATTTTTATATTTTTGCACACAAATAGAGCTTTATTTTGGTGATATTTAATCACCACTGGGTTTTTAACTTTTTGCTAAACAAAACAAAAAAGACTGAGAACGTCGGGAGAAAAAAAAAGTTCTTAGTTTGTTAAAAAATTTTGCAAGTAAGGGACAATGGACAGGACAATGTACCGTCAAATCTTGGGTGAGAACCTTCTTCCCTCAGCCAGGGCATTGAAAATGGGTCATGGATGGGTGTTCCAGCATGACAATGACCCAAAACACATGGCCAAGGCAACACAAAAAGTGGCTCAAGAAAAAGCACATTAAGGTCCTGGAGTGGCCTAGCCAGTCTCCAGACCTTAATCCGATTGAAAATCTGTGGAGGGAGCTGAAAGTTCGTGTTGCCAAACGTCAGCCTCCAAACCTTAATGACTTGGGAGAGGATCTGCCAAGAGGAGTGGGACAAAATCCCTCCTGAGATGTGTGCAAACCTGGTGGCCAACTACAGGATTTGTCTGACCTCTGTGATTGCCAACAAGGGATTTGCCACCAAGTACTAAGTCATGTTTTGTGAAGGTGATCAAATACTTATTTCCCTCATGAACATGGAAATTAGTGCATCATTTGTTAGACGTATTTCTTGCTGCTATTCTGTCTCAGTGTTACAATACACCTACCATTCGATTTTTAAACTGAGCCTTTCTTTGTGAGTGGGCAAACATTCAAAATCAGCAGGGGATCAAATACTTATTTCCTTCACGGTGTGTGTGTGTGTGTATATAAAAAATTATTTATTTTTATTTACAAAAAAAAAAAAAACCCAAAACAAAACATCCAATTAAAAAAAAAAATTCTAAATTTCTTTATAGATTTAGGCCAAATGTATTCTGCTACGTCTTTGGTAAGTAAAAATCCCAATAAATGTATATTAATTGGTTTGTGTGAAAGTTATAGCGTCTACAAACTATGGTATATATACTGGAATGTATACAGCTATGATGTTATACTGGTAATGGTGTTGATAAGCTACTTGTATATAGTGGGACTGGGATAGCGTGGTGGGCAATCTGGAGCTAGCAGACCCTCGCTGGGACATACACTGACATCAATAGTGACACTAATACAATACCCAGAGATAATACTGTACACAATCAATGTACTAATGACACTGGCTGGGAAGTGGTTAACCTCAAGGGGCAATCAAAGGGTTAACTGTGTGCTTAACAAGGGTAATGTGTGCTGCCTTTAGCAAGATCTGGCTGTTTTACCTTCCTGCTTTTCAGAGACAAGAAACAGCCAGATCACTGCTCTGTATACAGAGTCCTGTGTGTTTATAAACACAGGACCCTGTGCTGTGATTGGACACAGCCATAAGTCATTGGCTGACACCTGCTGACAAAATTGCACTGTGCCCAACCACAGTGCGGGTCAGCAGAGTGAGCATGCATGCACTCCCCAAAACAGGAGGCAAGCCGGCAACGTTTATTTACATTTTTGAGCCTGCTGCTGCCATCCGGTCACAGTAAATCTACTGTGACTGGGCAACAAGTGGTTAAGGCTATTCTGAAACCATTCAGCATTCATTGATGTGTGCATTTTGACCTTCAGTGGACCTCCTCCTGATCTGTGTTTCGACTGCTTTAGGCAGGTTTTGCATTTCCATAGACTTAAAATGCAATATAAAACCAGCTTAAAAGGAACAAAAAGCCCATTGGTGCAGTCCCTTGGAATAAAATTTAACGGATGGGTAAATTTACTGTGAACAGGTGAGCTGTGTATTTGGTGAGAAGGAAGCTTTTTTTCAAGGTGTCCATTTTCCCAAGGGGAATAGAAATTAATAGTACAGGGACATCACCTCCTCCTGCATAAACTAGGATTTACTGGCTTCCCCTATTCTTCTATGTAAGCCAACAGTGGTGAAACACATCAAGGAAGGCTGGTTTCAGCTAGAGACATCAATGTATGCAGGTGTGTGGTTTTTTTCTTTTTTACAACTATCAAAAAGAGAAAGAAGAGCTAAGTTTTGGTGTGCAGCTTACAATTATTATACTTCGGATTAACTGGCGTTGTGGGCAAGGACACCAGGCCTTGGGCATTCCTTAGGTGGAAGGGACCACAAAACCTTCCCTGCTTCTAGCCACTTCACTTTAAAGAAAAAAAAAAAAAACATTTATAGAAGGTCTAGAAGCAGGAGGTTAAAGAGGTTGTAAATCTTTACATATGCCCACTGACAAGACTAGCCTCAGGTGATACACATAGATAAAATACATAAACTGTACCTGTTTATCTGCTGCATTCTCTCCTCTATATCTGTTCAAGTGCAGAATTTATCAAGCATGTTGGAGCTTCCAGAAAGCAGGGGGAGGGGAGCTCATGTTACACTCTGCAGAGCTCAGTGAAGAGAGCTGACTGAAGGAAAGGGACACGCCCCACTTCACACAGCAGACAGGAACAGAGCTGAGGCTGTCAATCACAGACTGTGTGTTGCAGCTCCCTCTCCTGTCACCTTTTACCTTGGTGTCAGGAAAACATCTCAGAAGAGACTCACGCTGATAGACAAATGAGGCAGGAGACAGAAATGACACTTGGTGCACTAGACTGAGACAAGTACACACTAGAAAGGGATATGCTTTGTTCACAATTCATGTCTGATGTTTACAACCACTTTCATTTTGTCCTTTTATTTGCTTATCAGCTTTGTAAAATATACCTATTTTTGAGTTTTTGAATGCCACCTTATGTATACAGCTTATAGCAAAAATCCAAAAATTAGGTATACAATGTGTTCTAAAGAAGCGGATGTCACAAAAGGACAGGAAGTTTGCCAGTTTCAGAAAAATAAAAAAGAAGGGATGTAATAAATACCTCAGCTTAGAAGATTAACCACTAGCTTATCGCCCTACAGCAGAGGTACTGCTACAGGGGGCAGCTCTGTACAAAATCACATATAAATATACACACATGTGATTTTGCAGTTCCAGGTAGGGGGCGCACGCGCCGCCCTGCCATTCGTTGCAGCGGATGTCAATCACACGGGTCTCAGCTGGCACTCCGTGATCGTCAGTGAAGCGGAGAGGGGAGAGATCTGTGTGTAAATACAGATCTCTCTCCTGTCGGCATAGACATTCTGCTTTCTCTCTCTCTCTGCACAGCAGAGAGAGAAAGCAGCATGCTTCCCTAGTAAAACAGCACACAGTGTAAGCACAACACAACACAGTTAACCCTTTGATGTAAACCCTTTCCTGCCCCGTGTCATTCGTACAGTGTCAGTGCTTTTTATTCACACTGATCACTGTATTAGTGGCAGTTCCCACCCAGTGTCAGAATGCCCGCAGCAGTCCCGATATAAGTCGCTGATAACCACCATTACTAGTATAAAAATAAATAAAATTTCCAGTATATATACTGCCATTTGTAGATGCTATAACTTTCATGTAAACCAATGTTACCCTTGTAACAAATGTCTTGCTTGCCGATATAACGGCACACATAAAACCAAGGTTAAGGATTTTGGATCCAGTATCACAGGCAGGAATTACACTATAAATCCGATGATGACTTGCAATACGACTCATGCAGTGTATCTCCTGCAGTGCCCTTGTAACCTTCAGTATGTGGGCAGGACCACTAGACGGCTTAGGGATCGTCTCAGGGAACATTATAATAACATTAAGAAAGGTTTTAAGTACCATTCAGTATCCAAGCACTTTAGGGACCATCATGATAAAGACCCTTAATCTTTAAAATTTACTGCCATTGATGTGATTGCTCAACAATGGAGGGGTGGGCACAAGAGGAAAGCAGTGTCACAGCTCGAAACTAAGTGGATAGTTGAGCTAAAATCTTTACATCCCCAGGGTCATAATGTAGACTTGGATATGAATTGTTTTATTGATAATAGTTGATTTCTTTTTAATCTTCTTATACTTGTATAGTTGTTGCATTGTTTTTATGTTTTTTAATCTGGGGGAGGTTTAGCTTGTATCTTGACCGATTTCATTTCTGGTCATTTTATTCTACATATTGTTTGTTTGTTTTTCTGCATATTTGCTCTGTTTATTATTTATTATTTTTTATATGTGTTGTATCATGTTTAGTATTTTTTGGTTGTTATCTAATTTTTTGGTTTCCCTTCATTCATTTGTTGGTGTCATTTCCTGCAATGATTGATAGGGCACCAAGATAAGGATTACTTGTATAATTTTTAATATGAATATTAAGATCAACGCGGAGTATTTATTTTATTTACAAGGGTTTAGTTTTAATATCGTTTGTTGCCTTTGTGTTATGGATTCCTGGACACTTAAATACATATGGACCACAACAAAATGGATTCCTTTACTTCGATGATAATGGTGTCATTAAGAACATTTACTTTATTGTTTTATAATACTCATTAGGCAGTTAACCAGTAGGCATCTGAATTGTCAAATTGTCCTTTATGTAATTGCATTTCTGTTCATGACGTTTGCTCGGAGACATGTCTTATCTGTCTCCCTCGATCTATCCTCTGCCCGCCTACCCACGGGTGGGGACTTGTTGATTTAGCTTGCATCATCGCTTGTGACGCACCCGCGCAGTGATCGCCACGATCTCTGGTGGGTGACATCACTTGTGCATGCGCAGTTTTTAGCTGCGCGTGGCGCTCTCTGCGCATGCGCGACTTTTAAATTTAGGCATCCTTGGGACAGGATTCACCCCTTTGACAACGAGCATGGCTCGAAACATGTTAAGGGATCCTACCCAACTGACGCCATTATACCACCAGGGAACGTTTAACCACCAGTGAGCCTGGATATTAGGCCTGGAGGGTTTTGTGTTTTTTGATGTGAGTGGATATATTATCTTATTGCTCTACATAATAAAGGCATACTTCACTATTTTGATATCATTCTGCCCCTGGCTTATTTATGAGCCCCCTCAAGGTGGACCCCTTTGTGGATTATACTACCAGGAGTGGACTTCGTTGGACCTACTGGTGTAACCTGAGGTGTCCCTTGCCTGAGGATTTCGTTTGAGGATTCAGTCGCTTCCGAGGGTTTGTCATGGTTACCGTATGCTGCCCCATTCTGCGGACCGGACCTTGATGTCCATCAATATACATGCAACGCTCAGTTTGTATGTTGCTGTGGTAAGCATATAATTTTACCAGATTTTTCCACAAGTTTAACGGAATTGGAATGCACTATACGCTACTGTGTTACCGTTATTCTACCCTCATCACCATATACTCCTAATGAGGACTGTTCTTACGGATGGGTTTCTATGAATCAGGTTATACTGACTCTGGGTCTACCATTGTTCCTAGGATTATATATGTAATTTATTACCTCTTTTAGCGCTGCATACCATTTACTGTTAGAATACATTTTGGCCTAAATTTATAAATAATTTTTTTATTGGATATGTTTTATAGCAAAAAGTAAAAAAATAGTTTTTTTTTTTTTTTAAATTGACGGTCTTTTTTTGTTTATAGCACAAAAAATAAATGAGAGATGATCAAATACCACCAAAAGAAAGCTCTATTTGTGGGGAAAAAATGACAAATTACATTTATGTACAGCATTGCTTGACCACACAAATTTCATTTTTGTACAGCGTCGCTTGACCACTCAATTGTCAGTTAAAGTAACGCAGCGCTGTATTGCAAAAAATGGCCTGGTCAGGAAGGAGGTAAATACTCTGGGGGAGAAATTGGTTAACTGTATCCAAAATTAATTTTTATTTAATTCCCTGTATTTTCTGCTGTTCATAACACCCCAACTGGATTGATCTAGCCAAACCCCTGGCATAGCTATAAAAAAGCTGAGTGCTCACCTATTTACCCAAGGTACTTGAGAACTATTCTTTTCTACATGTATTTGTATTTGTATTTATGGAGATACTCAAGCAGGTTTGTGGGAGAATTCCCTGACAGGGTCTTGCCAGAAGACAACACATTAAGCAGTTAATAAAACCCTGCACAACCCAGAATTTGCTTTGAACAAAGTGGCTTTTATTTTCAATGTGCGTTACCCTTTCAAGTGTGATTTCTTCATATTCATAATCCGCATCTGTTCCATTTACCTAAAAAATAAAGGAAAAAAGTTAAAATGACGTGCAGTCAGTAATATAATGTAAATACAAAACACCTGAGGAAGACTTAAAGCCAACAATATGCCAGTATTACTTGAGAAAATAAGGCCAGGGGTAGTGAGCCAATTGGAAAGAATGAAGCAACCAAATGCATGTGCTCCTGCACTGGACTGTGGACTCCACAATGTCAGTATCCCCACATGAGTAAGAAAGGAATGCAAGCCTTGCTGCCCTCAATGGACCAGGGAAATCCAAAGAGAGCTGTATATAAGAATCAAAAAGGGCGCACAGGCCTGGTGCATTACCTTAAAAATGGGATTTATTTATAAATTGTAAAATACTCACAAGAGAAATGTAAAATCAGATCAAAATGAGAAGCATGTTGCAAGGGATGCAGAGGAACCCCTATGGGTGGTCTGGTGGGGGACTGTGAACCTCTGGATAGCTGGTGGCTGACGCATTTCGAAGTTGTACCTCTTCCTCAGAGTGTGTGAGTGAGTGTGAGTGTGTGTGTGTGTGTGTGTGTGGCCTGTGTCCACTCTTAAATGGGCTGGGACCCATGTGATGAGTGTTGTTGGGGTCCACCCCTAAGGCGGAGACATCAGGGGGAGTGGAGAATGAGGAGGGGGGGAAGGTGGGGGTAGATGCATACATTGAGTATATACGAACATGTGAACACATTTGGATACATGGTAGTTAGTTTAAATGAATATTGGTATAGATGACAGGTGTTTTAGGACATTAATTATAGCATATTCATAGTGTATTTCAATATAGGACTCACAAACTGAGATGTGGATATGGGGAAGTTGGTAGGTTGAGGGCTGCACACACACACTGGCTCTGAGGAAGAGGTACAACCTCGAAATGCATCAGCCACCATCTATCCAGAGGTTCACAGTCACCCAGCAGACCACACATAGGGGTTTCTGAACCACTCTGCATCCCTTGTGAGATGCTTCTCATTTTAATCTGATTTTACATTTCTTTTGAGAGTATTTTACAATTTATAAATAAATCCCATTTTTTAGGTAATGCACCAGGCCTATGCGCCCTCTTTTTGTTTCTTATATGTAGTGAGCCAATTCTTAAAGGACATGTTTAGATCCCCCAGTCCCATCAATACTCTAACCTATGCCATAGTCCTTCACTCCCCATTCCCAGAGTTGGTTGGTTACTTACCAACATCCCATAGTTTTGAATAGGCCAGGGGTGGGCAACTGTGGCCCTCCAGCTGTTGTAGAACTACAAGTCCCATGAGGCATTACAAAACTGACAGTCACAAGCACGATTCCCAAAGGCAGAGGCATGATGGGAATTGTAGTTCACCAACAGCTGGAGGGCCACAGTTACCCACCCCTGGAATAGGCCATACTCACAGTACAGCACAATGTCTCGTTCAAGTCTAAGAAGTAAGTGCACAGACAGCCTGGAGCAAGATTTTTTTTTACCAGCTGGGCTGCAGACAGCACAAAATGTAGCACTTGAACTGGGAGGTAAGTAAAGACCTGAGCTGAACATGTCCATTAAGGAAATCTGAAATTACATTCATGATTTAATTGCGGACAATCCTAGTTGCCTGGCTGTCATGCAAAGCCATCAATGACACAAGCCTCCAGCATTTTTTTTTTTTTTTTGTAAATGCAGGAGAAAGTAATCTGAAGTATAAACAAATATTCTGCTTCCTAGGTATATGTATCCTGCTTTTAAGAGCCCATTCACACTAGGAAGTGCATTTGAATCGCACAGGAATGTACTACTTTTGGTAAATGCACTGCAACCAGATTGCATGGTACTTTTGTACTGTATGATCCGGTGCGAGCAAATACATTGCATTTGCGACCTACATTTGAGGTGTCGCTAACTTTGCACTGACACCCGCTGCAGATTACAAGGGCAGTGTGATTGTAATGTGGTGCAGGAAACAGGAACTTAATGCGGGTCTCCCACACCACATTCTAGTGTGAACTTGCCCTAAAGGTATATACACTATTGTGCAAAATGTTTAGGCAGGTGTGAAAAAATGTGAATCAAAACTACTTTCAGAAAAAGAAGTGTGAAAAATTTATTTTTATCATTTAACAAAAATGGAAATTAAATGAATAGAAGAGAAATCCAAATCAAATTAATATTTGATGTGACCACCCTATGCCCTTTAAAACAGCATCAATTCTTCTAGGTACACCTGCACACAGTTTCTGAAGGAACTCAGCAGGCAGCTTGTTCCAAACCCCTTGGAGAACTAATCGCAGATCTTCTGTAGATGTAGGCTGCCTCAAACCTGTCTCTTCATGTAATCCCAGAAATATGAGATCAGGGCTCAGGGCTCTGTGGGGGCCAAACCACCACTTCCAGGACTCTATGTTCTTCTTTACACTGAAGTTAGTTCTTAAGTGGAATTTTAGGTAAAAAAAAAAAAAAAAAAAAAAAAAAAAAAAAAGGTAAACAGACGGGAATTTTAATGCAGAAGAGACATGCTTTGTGTACAAAGAATTGATGCTGGCTTGAAGACAAAGCGTAGTCACACCAAATATTGATTGATTTAGATTTTTCTTCTGCTTGCTCACTTTGGCTTTTTTTTATTAAATTTACAAAATGCAAAATTACAAAATGCAATTAAAATATATTTTTGAAATCATTCTTACTGTACAGCATTTCTTCAAACCTGCCTAAAACTTTTGCACAGTACAATAGGTTTACACGTGATCACTGCCCCTGAATACTCAGATTTCTGTTTTCTTCTAAAAGCAGCCCAAGGTGATTGTGGCTCTATTAGTTCACTTGCAAGCACACAGTTAAGTACGTTGTGATACTTTCTTTTATAATTACATTTTTATAACTAGCTTTCGGTGTCCACCCTCTTCTAAGGTTCTAGCAGCACTGACAAAGTTTTTTTTTTTTTTTTTTTTAGCAAAATGTTAAGGGGGGGGGGGGGGGGGGAAGTGTTTTGCTGCACGCCTGTTTGGACATAATTTCGCTCAACCAGAATATTCATAAAAGAAAAACCTTTAGACTGGAAATAATTATTTTAGGGTCTCCTTTCACACCAGGAACTGCATGTGAAATCGTACAGGAATGCTGTACAGTTCCTGTGCGATTTGCATGCAGTTTTGTGCAGCGCGATTTCAGCCCACTAATGTTGAATGGGCTAAAATCTCACTGCACCATAAAGTAGTGCATGCACTACTTTTGAAATGCATGGCAACAGGACCGCATGGTACTTTTGCACCGTGAAATCTGGTGCAAACAAAAGCACTGTGTTTGGGGTGTTAGCATTGTATTAACACCATACTGTAGATCATAGTGCAACCGGAATGCGGTGTGTAAAATCGGGTTTCCTCCACAGTGTTCCAGTGTGAAATAGCACTTAGACACAAGATAAAGCACTGAGAGCAGACCTCAGCTTTCTAAATCACTATGAAAAAGTTGTTAGCACAATTTTAACCTTGGTGAGAGGGTAGGGGGGAAAGGGGACAGCTCCCGAAAGCTGTAAGCTGTTAACTGCTAGTGCTAATTAAAAAGAAAAAAAAAAATTGTGGACAGTAGTACTTAACTGTTTTGCTACACTTAATGCATCTGAATGCAAGTAAAGACTGTTTAAGTTATACCATTTAAAATCATTACATGCAGTTTTAAAACATATGAATTAATAAATTTGCATGCCTTTGTGAAGGAGGCCTTATATCAATGCTCTTTGTTTTGGGATCAGAAGTTCTGCGTTCAGTCCCCGTGACTCAAAAGATTGACTTTAAAGTCAGCCAAGTAACTAGCATTTTATTTGTTTAGTAACGCTACATTCATATTGGTGATTTAGGCTGGTGCAAATTGCAGTGGCAGAAATCTTCTTGATTGCAGCTGCTATTGTGAGTGGCTAGGTGTGGCCACAGGCCCTGTACACTATGATTGCCAGAGGCAGCAGCTATTTGTGGCTGTCTGCACAGCCAGCAATTGCCTGTGGTGAACACTGCTGGACATACACAAAACAGCAAACAGCAAAGGTAACCACTGGCTCTACAGACAAGTTGCAAATAGATGTGGCTGCCCATGACCTGTCATTATAGTGAATGGGGCTGGCAATTGCACCTAGCCGCTCACAGCAATAGCAAGAATCAAAAGATTCTTGTCACTGCAATTCGCACCAGCCTAAATTGCTGGTGTGAATGTAGCCTAATAGTAGTGTAAAGATTTCTCAATATAGTATTCTTTATTAATGACCAAATTACAGGTCACACCTTACAATCACAGTTTAAGATTTTAACCTTCCTAGCAGTAATTCAGAGTGTGGCTTGGGGTTAATTTTCAGTACCAAAAGCGGTAGCTCCGAGCCACACTTAGAATTACACTGTAGTATAATTTACCTTGTCCTGCGATCCCCAGGCTGTGTCCTCTGGCCGATGCCGGCATCAGTCTTCCAGGTTCCCTTCCCTGAGAGTGTCGCAACACAGGGGGCGAAACCGGTGCGAGATTCAAAAAAAATAAAAACATGACATACACACAATACATTGTAATCTGTTAGGATTACAATGCTGTATCAAACCATTTCACCTCAGTTTTGTCTCTAGTACTTTGTCCAGTGACCTTCCTGCACTTTTACCGCTCTTTCTGCCTGGAAACTTAAGAACATCCATGGCATCCAAAAAGCACCCCTTTAGGTCAAAAGCGGTTTTAGACCAGCTAGAAAACAGCGATTGCGAATTAGAATAACTTGCAGAATTGAGCGATAGTTATTTATGGGGAAATTCATCAACAGACACTGAAAGTGATAACAGCGGCTGAGCTCAGCGATGTGCGAACTTGGTGCTCTATTTCAAATTTCAGTGTTTTTAGTTTGATTACATTATTGAATTAAATTCATTATTATATTATTTTTTATATTTATAATTATATTATAATTTCAAGTTTCAAACTTTATCTAGACTCTTGTTTGGACAGATTTGAGTTATTCCTACGAATTACAGGCCTACAATATAAAACAACAAATGTCCATGCAAAACAACGTACCGCTTTGACATTCAAAAACATTGACATAATCAGACCGCCAGGGAGGTTAATCCTAGCCGCAAAATAGTCACACACAATTTGACTGTACAAAATAGTTTGATGGGAACTTTTCCATACACGTGCTGAAGGTCAACAGACACCTAAAACCATCTAATCAAGCCAACAATTTGTCCATGAATTGGAAGTTAAAGCATGCCTCTGGCCTGCATATCCAAAAGTTATCCACATGGAAAAAGCAGATATATGGCATTTGATTAGAGCTAAGTATATAGATCAACAACCAGTTCAAAATCCTCCTACAAAATGCTTATCTGTCAAAGAAAGAAAAAAAAAAACAAAAACAACCTGATATTATCTACTGCAACATTTCTCAGCACCTGCACTTCTTTCCTGTGCAAACACAGAAGGTACTAAACAAGAACTACCTATGGCCTACTGCAGAAAATAACCTTAAACATTCACTGTTAAGTGCCCACATACCATATATCTATATTAAAAGATGCATGCCCCATATATTTGAGACAATAAAAGCTAAGCCTAGCAATGTGTTTTTGTATACATAGCTAACGGGTTTTATGATGGCCTGGAAAAGTTTAATGTGGGCTCCCAGGGTTTTTAAAAAATTTTTTGCCAATAAAAGAGTCATTATTGTGTTTGACAGCTTAATCTTTATAGAACTGGCATGAAGATTGTATCTATAGGAGCATAGTGCAGATCTTTTTATTGCTTTTATTTACGAAAAGGCTCCACCATGCTAAATAAGTTTTTAAAAACTTTCAAAGAAGAAACATTTTACTGTGTACTCAGGAACACACACACACACACGTTTCTATGACACGACGTAGAAATAGTTGTTAATGCTCAGACAATTCTGTCCAACCAACCGTTGGGAGAATGAGATGTGATACTGAATACCAATTTCTAATGAAACCACTGGGAAAAGATCCAAGAGATATTATAAACTTCACAAATACTGAAAATTTAATGCACAGCTTTTGTTTATGAAGAAATAAACAGATAGGAAAGAGCTGGAAAGCCATTAGCAAAGCAACAGTCATCAGCTAATTATTTTGCTCTTCTGGCTTTGCTCATTATTAGCTTTGTTTGTAAACTGTTTGCCTCATTCTGCTGTAGTTTAACACACATTTATGGCACACACAAACTGTCCATAATTCACGTTGTAATTCTGCTAAATATGACGCCTAGCAAAACAGGGCAACCAGATATCTTCTGTAGTGATATTAGTTCAGGCAAACTGCACTGGTTAGCATAATTTATAGGTAATTTGTAGCACGAGCCACTCATTTGCCATGAAGGCCTGGTTTTAAAAATGCTCCTCCTCTTGGCAGCAGCGTTTTGGCTAAAAACCCCTAAGGCCTGTAAAAGTTTCTAATGCTTTTACAAGCATTTCGGCACGTTTAAAAACAAAGTGCTGGGGCATTAATTTCATTGGCCAGAATAGTAATTTATTCTGGCCATTGAAATGGATTAACGCTCAAGAGCTAAACGTGTCTAGCGTTAACACGTGTTTAGATGCATCAAGTGTTTTTCTCTGCCAAAACGCTGCTGCTCCTGGAGGCACTGGCAGTGGGTTTTTTCCAGCTCCTAAAAGCTGCTAACACTAAAAGCTTCTAAAAGTATGAGTGCATGTACACATGAGAATATGGAGGGTGCGTCGAAGCTGAACAAAAAAAAAAAAAAAAACACGTCTGATGCCCCTAAAAGTGGCTGCAATAACACCCTGTGTGCATTAGGCCTAAAAAGTTGTCCAACTGGCAATGACAACATATGTGATTAAACTTAATATAAGTAGTACAGGGTACATAGACTGCTTTAGCCACTTTGCTTTTGCACCAACTGGGGTTGTGTACAAGTATTCACCCTGAACCTTTTGGAAACATTATGAAGTCAAAAGAAGCGGTTTCTTTTTTTTTTCTGGTGGGGTCATACCAGATATAACCAAAAAACTCTGCCCCATCTGTAGCAAGACAAATGGGCCTGCATACATTGCCATTTCTTGTTCTCCAGAAAAGGCAAGGATTACAGCTGGCTGTCAATGAAAGCATCCAACAGGGAACCAGTATGTGTGTGCTGCTGCATTTTCAGTGCAAACTATCTGCAAATATCCTCCACTGTCTAGCGATCATACAAAATCCAACAAGAAGCTGCAGGTCTCAGGGAGAGGTGCCACTGTGACGTCAGCACAACAGCCTAGCCTGGATCATGGTCATATTAAAAAAGTGACCACTGAGTCACTATATCTGTATTGGTTTTACAGCCTCTTTTCTCTGTTTGTAGATCACGTAAAATACAACAAAGAAATTTCTAACACATCTAGATTATACACGTTTGTTTTTAGAGGTCTGGAAAATTTTAAAATATTTTCACCCAGTTTCCTCATTCCCTACATGAACAATCCAAATGGTCACAAGCTTTCAGCATTATTAGATTCAGGTAATGGTCAGAAACATATAAAAACATATTCACATGTTTACACTTACATATGGAGGAGTGTCCAGGCTCTCTGTGTTTACAATCACTGGAGGTGGATTTGCCTTAAAAGAAAGCACATACACATTAATATTAAAATTAAATTCCTTATACAACTGGTTCTGTATTCATAGGAGCTTACAAGTACAAATGAGAAGCATGCCTAAACTTCAGAGAAAAAAAAAGAAAGGATAATCACACTATAGGCTGTTGGCTGAAAAAATGCATTGTAAAGCACACAAAAAATAAAATCCACAAGACTAGATCAGGTTTTAAACTGACATTGTATCATATTCCTGCTGCAAGGACTGCGTTGATCTGCAGTCATATTTGCTTCTGCTGGATGAAGGAGTGATCACATGAATGGGATGTTACTGGTATCAGCATTCTTAGTTACCCCCCCCCCCCTTTTTTTTTTTTTTCTATTAGGAACAGGAATTGTTGTTCCAGGTCAGGGGTGGTGTTGCAAATTTACTTCATGCTCAGCAAGTTTCTTGAACTTCTTTCTCTTTTGGCCATCTATACACTAGGATTTTTTTTATTCATCAAAAAATCCTTTCTTGGAGTTCATTAGGGGATACAGGATTCAAAGAATGGGGTCATACGGTCACCTACACAAGGATTTAGACAAAAAAAAAAAAAAAAAGTGACTAACCTGGTATTATAACTGTTCCAACTCCAAATGCAAAATTGATGGGACATTTGTCCCCTAATGAACGCCAAGAAACAGATTTTATGGTCAATAAAGCGAGAGAGAGAGAGAGAGAGAGATACGTTTCAAGGTGTTTTAGAATTAGATGTGATGGCTGCATTAGTTTTCCTTATTGGCTTTCTTTGCTTACCTTTAGTTTTACCTGGTGATCTAGCCAGTAAGCCTTTTCCCCCCAAAAGAACAAGCTCTCTAGCAAACGTAGCAGAGGATGAAACAAACCATTTACCCCTGAGAGGAGTGCTTACAATGATCAGCTTTTAGGCCTCATGCACACTGGGCATCTGCCCAGCAACTCTGAAAATCTTTCTCCTTGCAAGAGAAAAGCTGCTTAACCACCTCCTGCCCGCCATATAGTACAATGACGGGCGCAAGGTGGTTCTCTCATTCTGGGAGGACGTCATATGACGTCCTCCCATTCTCAGCGCAGCGATCAGCGGTGCGCTGTGTCCCTCGGACACAGCCGATCACCGTTCCACGTAAAGAACTGAAGAGGTCAGCTCTGTCATGTGGTCAGCTGTGTCCAATCACAGCTGATCACATGTAAACAGGGAAATGCCGATTATCGGCATTTCTCTCCTCTCGAGCTGTCACGCTGACAGCTCGAGAGGAGAGGAGAGCCAGTAATCGGCATTCCGCGGAGGGGACATGTACACTGATCATCAGGGCACTGATGATCAGTGTAGCCCCAGCAGTGCCACCTGTCAGTGTCCATCAGTGCCAGCTGTCAGTGCTCATCAGTGCCACCTGCCAATGCCCATCAGTGCCACATAGTGCCTACCAGTGCACATCAATACCACATATCAGTGCCCATCTGAGCTGTCTTTCAGTGTCACCCATCAGTGCCAGTCAGTGCCACCTAACAGTGCCAGTCAGTGCCACCTAACAGTGCCAGTCAGTGCCACCTAACAGTGCCAGTCAGTGCCACCTAACAGTGCCAGTCAGTGCCACCTAACAGTGCCAGTCAGTGCCACCTAACAGTGCTAGTCAGTGCCACCTAACAGCGCCAGTCAGTGCCACCTAACAGCGCCAGTCAGTGCCACCTAACAGCGCCATATATCAGTGCCCAGTGATGCCTGTCAATGCCCATCAGTGCCACCTAACAGTGCCTCCTCATCAGTGCCCATCAGTTCAGCCTATCAGTGCCCATCACTGCAGCCTCATTAGCGCACATCAGTGAAGGAGAAAAATCACTTATTTACAAAATGTTATAACAAAAACTAAGAAAAAAACATTTTTTTTTTCAAAATTTTCAGTGGTTTTTGGTTTAAGAAAAAATAAACCCAGAGGTGATTAAATACCACCAAAAGAAAGCTCTGTCACAAAAAAAAAAAAAAGATAAAAATTTCATATGGGTACAGTGTTGCATGACCGCGCAATTGTCATTCAAAGTGCAACAGCAATGAAAGCTGGAAATTGGCCTGGGCAGGAAGGGGGTATAAGTGCCCTGTAGGCTAGCGGTTAAAAAAACAAGCCTACAGATGCAACTTGCAAATGCGTTTGGATGCATACACGGCTGTAAAAGTGGAGTTTTTTTTTTTTTTTAAGCCCAGTGTGCATAAGACCTTATTTATATAAAACCTTTATTAACAAAATGGTTTGCTGTAAGTGAGCTGGAGTTTGTCTTCAATTTGTTTGTGTATCTAAATCTGCTAGTACATCAAACACTCCCCTCCCCCCAAATCAACAATGCTGCTGCCCAAAGGTACCCCTGTGCTACTTCATCCAGAGTGAAGGCAAAGCTGGAATGAGGTCTGAACATCCACCTGATAAAACTATAACATGTGAACAGAAGACCATGAGGAAGCCACCATCTTTGATCTGCAGTTGCCATAGTGCTCCACACAATCAGTTATGACACCAGCCATTTGATGCCTTAACAGTTCAGTTTAGTGCACACGCACCGAATAGAACAGAGGGAATTATTGAGAATGGTGCAGGAAGGGATACAGCTAAGCTACAACATAATTACACACGTGAATGTGTTTCAAGCTTGAAAAAAGGAGCAGTTACCTCCGAAACATGTAGTCACACTCCTCCCGTTGCAGCCCTCCCAGGTGTGATGTTAATTCTGGTCTTGCACAGTCCGTGGGCTCCAGGGTACCTCCAGTTTTGTTTCCGGTATCCTACAAAGCTCCTGACAGCAGCATCTGCTTCCTGGCTCCTTAAGACACACTGAGGCTCAAGAGCAATCCGCTCTAGGTGGATTGAATGCTTTTATCCTTATGCATCTTGTGTGATGCCACTTGTGACTTTTAATAAAGTCTTTTCCTATTTACTGCACTTGGCACCCTTTGCTGTTTCCTTTATACAAACACCGAATGTAACTCTTTTGGAAAACTTAAATCCATGGGTTTAGTTCTGCTTTAACAGAAAAGGGTGGAACCTGATCCTAAAGACCATGAACTTGATAATAATCTGTCTGAGTGACCAAGAAACCGCAAATGAGATGCAAGTCTGTTTTATTAATTTAAGCAGTGGCAGAGAGATAAACTCACACAGAACCACATATGAATGTGGCTCTCCACCAAGGAAAAAGTACTACTTCCACATGGTGAAGAGAAATTTCATGCTGATGCACTGGAGGACGACGGAGATGGAAGATCACTGTCCTTGTTAAGGTGAAAGATCGAAACCACCTTGGGAGGAGGGAACGTCTAGACCTTAATACCATGTCTGTGGGTAAATTTATTTATTTATTTTTTTTTTTTTACAGTGCACAGTCGCAAGCTCAGACACACCTCATCGAGGTGATGGCAACAAGTATGTAGCCTGGTGAGTGAGGATGAAGAGAGGAATATCCTTGATAGGTTCAGAGAGTGCTGAGAGAACCAAATTGAAATCCCACAAAGTCACTGCACAGAGAGAACTACGCGAGACATCCAGCACAAAAACCTCAACAAAAAGGATGAGAGGAAAGCGATCTATGTAACAAGATTGCAAGCTCTGATAACTGACCACTGGAGGTACCCAAGGTTAAAGGCTGATCCAGCCCTGATTGAAAAAAGGTTAATTTCTTCCCACAGAAAAACAACTTTTTCTGCACCAAGCAAAGTATGCCCTCAATGCGCAAAGGTATACATTGTGTGTGGGGAGGTATTTCAGAATGAAAATGCATACATTACATTGTATTGATCCCACAGAGCATTCAGTGCTTCCACCAATGGTCCTCTGCACCTGAAGACAAACTTGGCCAATTTGTTAGTGCATCTGGAGGCCAGAACGGCTGAAAAATGTCTAGAACATTTTCTACCTCTCTTGCCACAGTAAGACTTGTACTTCCTTCCTGATTGTCTGACTGAATGCGGATTGAATGACTCCTCAGTTTGGGCATCAAGCGTTGCAAGGATAACCACAATTCTCTGAGCACCAAAACGTTGTTTGATGATCTTCTCAAACATGAGAAAGAAAGGGATTTATCAAGAGCATCCAAGCAGGATTTCCTATCCACTGGGCCAGAGACAACCTAGTCTTCAGTGTCAGGAAAAGAGACTGCACCCTTAGACCCACAAAGACAGAATGTTTTGAGCCTGTGGTGGAATTGACCAAATGGAAAGGTTTTGAAGGAGACTACCATCAAGCCTGGAACTTTCAAGCAGAATCACTGAGCTAGCAATCTCCTGTACTATAGATTCCAAGTCAGAAGTGTATCTTAGGCAAAGAAGAATTCTGCTTTAATCTATACCCAGGATAAAACTCAGATACTCCCAAGTGACATGTATGTTCCAGAGTGGACTTCTGAAGGCTCAAGATACAACCGAACCTTTTTAAAGGTTTAGACTGTGTGCATCACATTGTCCTTCAGAACCCGTGCCAACTCTTTTCTCAAGAGAAGCTGTCCAAATATCGCCTGACAGGAAAGGCCTGGGAGTGAAGCCCCCAAGCAATAAACTGAGGGATGGGCAACATCAGAGAAAACCGTAGCAACGAGGCTGACAAAAAAAAAAAAAAAAGAGTCAATAGACTAAAACACTCAGATGACAGCTTGAAGCACCATGCTGCCAAAGCTCACTTGGCAGAGGCCTGAACATCCACCTAGTAAAATAAAAAGGTAGAAGGCAGAAGATATGAAAAGACCAGGTGGTAGCGTTGCAAACCTCCGAAGCAGGTGCTTGATGCTGAAAGGCCCAAAAAACAGACAGATCTAGAAGATGCACCCAGATAGGGAAGGAAGGAACCAGTTTCTTGAGAGTGTGCGCCCTGGAAATAAGCAATTTGAGCCATCCAACAATGGTGGTAGAGGAAGCAGGATGCCCCTTCTTGGAATCTCCAAGCTCTCTTCATCTTCCTTTATGAAGGAAGAAATTGCAGCAAGGTAGACCCAAACCCACTTACGACATCCATGCAGTAGATTAA